GATTGCTTGGCTTGTGGTTTCTTCCCTCATCTTCAAAACCAGCAATGGCCGGCCAAGTCTTTCTAACACTGTATCACTCTGACACCTCTGTGGTCAAATATTCATCTGCTTTCCTCTAATAAAGACACTGCTGTGATTACATCTACTCCACCCAGATTATCTAGGATAATCTCTCAATTTAATAATCATTAACTTAATCACATCTGCAAAGTCACTTTTACTATATAAGGTAACATGTTTATAGGTCCCAGGAATTCATATGCCAACATCTTTAGGAAGCCATTCAGAATACCACAATTAGTATAGAGATTCGGAAAAACCGAAACAGCAGAACTGAATGTTCAGTCACTTGTGTATTAGGAAAGTGTCCCTGGTAACTCTCGAGCCACAGGATATAAACTGAGCTATATAAACAGATATCACAGCTTAAGTGCTTCTCATCAAATTGAGAAGCCTTCTAGCAACCATCACAGACATCTACATGCAGCCATCCTTGTCTGTGAAGCACAGCTGATCCCAAAGTATTAGACACCATTATTTGAAATATCCTCCTGCATCCGAGTCAAACCAGCAACTTAAGAGAATGCCTCTATATTTTTTACAAAACGTGTAAAATTGTGGAGTGCGGTGGCTCCCGCCTGTAATCCCAGCACTTTGGGAGGCTGAGGCAGGTGGATCACAAGGTCAGGAGTTCAAGACCAGCCGGGCCAAGATGGTGAAACCTCGTCTCTACTAACAATGCAAAAAAGAAACACACATAACATTATTTTATGTCATTTAATTTCACCCTTATTCCCATAATGTGGACGTTCCTTTCACACAGACCTATCCTACACTGCATGTCTGTTATTGGAGGAGTCCTTAGTTAAGTGATCTTTTCACCTGAACGTCCTCTAAAGAGAACTTAGAAGTTAGCTTTTATTTTTAAAACTGTTAATCAATGAAATAAGATTTCCCAAGGGAAGGTTTTATCCGAGAGCCTCAAATTTGGGGAAGTGTGCCTTACCAGGCATGGGGATGTAATGTTTCAATCTCCCTTCAAGGAAAGGCTTGTAGCACAAGAGCGGGAAGTTTAGTTAGCAGACGGCCTTCACCTGTCAAGCCCTTCATGGTCAGCCTTGCTGCAGAAGAGTTTCGACCGAGGCCACCCACCTTCCCAGATCAGACTGCATCCAGTGACTGAAATAGGTGTGAACACAGACTGGACCATGCTTGCCTGACACCTGAAGCCTGACAGGCAGCACTCACTAGAGGTCCGTGCTGAGGTGGGAGCAGTGTTGGAGGATTTGCATTGCAAATCCTTCTCTTCTGCTTAATCCTACTTCCTTCCCTTTCCTTTCAGATACTGAACTATAGTGAATCCCCCCAAAGTATATCTCAGAGTCCACGTCCAGAAAACCCAAAGGTTTACAGCTTGTGCCATTAGTAAGAAGCTCCAAAATAGTAAAAGACGGGCCAAAGTTTCGGAGTTGGATTACTCGTTATCCAGCTGACATACAAACCTCAGCACTGTGTCAGGTGGAGAATAGAGAGGCCCTGGCATAAGGAGGTGGCTCCATCATTATACAGTTCACCGGGAGTAAATTAAGAGGCAGTGTCTGTGTTATGTAACAGATGTTTGAACTTAGGAGATAGATTATTATCAAATAACAGGTTTAGGTGGCTGATCCAGGGTTTGGCTGTGCCCCCAGTGAAATTTCATCTTGAATTATAGCTCCCATAATCCCCACATGTCTTGGGAGGGACCCTGTGGAAGGTAATTGAATCAAGGAGGCAGGTTTTTCTGTGCTATTGTTGTGATAGTGAATAAATCTCATGAGGTCTGATGGTTTTATAAAGGGAAGTTCCTCTGTACATGCTCTCCTGCCTGCCGCCATGTAAGATGTGTCTTTGCTCCTCCACCTTCCATCATGACTGTGAGGCCTCCCAAGCCATATGAAACTGTGAGTTCATTAAACCTCTTTTTCTTTATAAATTACCCAGTCTGGGATTGTGGGTCAAGATGGCCAGAGGCAGACCTATGTTATTTCTAGTTAAATAATTACAAGCTTGTTTTGCTTATTGTACACTGACGTTTATACCTCAAACAGCTATAACAAATACTGGTGCAGTAAAATAGAAATCAAGTGGCAACAGGAGGCCTAAGGTAAAGACCATCAGAGAGTGCTGTAAAACCTGGACCGACGGCGTGGTTGCAGAGCAGAAAATACTGCTTTGGTCCCACAAATGCCTTCTCGACATGGAAGCTGCATGAGGATCTCATAAAAAGGACTTGTGCAAGGGAGGGACCTCTGAGAAGGGAGGCAACCTCTGCTCACAAGATCTGGGAGGGTATTTGCAGATGTGAGCTTGCAAGGAGGAAAAGCCTTGTAGAGGAGAGATTACCGGGACACCACAGGCTCTGCCTAGGTTCTCAGAATATGGAGTAATCTTGATTGCTCGGTGTGTGCAATGCTCAGAAGATAAAAGCCCCGTGATGCATTGGGTGTAGTCAAACCTGGTGGTTTGCTTCTAATGCAAATGCACCTTGATAGCAGCCTGTGGTAGAACTCAGTGTTCTAGGTTTGCATAAGAATCACATCTGCTGCTGAATACTGCAGACCACACCTCTCCCCCTTGGCTATCTTGCCCACATTAGTTTCAAGGCCTCTCCCAATAGTTTCAAGGCCTCCCCTGATCATCCCTCCCTGATCACTCACCTCTGAATTAACAAGTGTATACACCTAATAAAAGTATGTGGAGCCCAGCTCTCAGTGCCAACGCAGCTCACCCCACACAAGAGTGCGCTGGACCCATGCTGTGAACTTCTACTCTTGTGTCTTTATTTCCTTTTCTCACTCCCTCATCACCGCCGGGACATGGAGCACTGACACACAGGGTTGGGCTGGTTCCCAACGTGGGAGATATATATATATATCTCGTCAGGAGTGCAATCTCGTCTCACCGCAACCTCTGCCTCCCAGTTCAAGCAATTCTCCTGCCTCAGCCTCCAGAGTAGCTGGGACTACAGGCATGAGCCACCACGCCCAGCTAATTTTTGTATTTTAGTAGAGACGGGGTTTCACCACATTGGCCAGGATGGTCTCAATTTCTTGACCTCGTGATCTGCCTGCCTTGGCCTCCCAAAGTGCTGGGATTTCAGGCGTGAGCCACAGGGCCTGGCCCTGGGGTATTTCTTTATAGCAGTATGAGAACGGACTAATACAGTGGCTAATGCTAAAAGGTACTGATGTTATACATAAAGATACAAAGAGTCAAGGGCAATAGAGAAGTGATTGTAGATGTGAAAGTTAGAGGGCCTTTGGTTGCACAAAAAGCTCACATCTGCTGTATCACAAGTGGCATCAGGTCCTTGACTTGCAGAAAAAGAGCTATTGCAGAAGGAAAAGCCATGCGGACGCCTCAAACTACAATCCCCACAAGACGGTACATAAAAACAATCTCTGGGGGGATAATAGAGATTACAGTCACCCTTCCAGATATAAAAGATGTAGGAGTCATGGTTCCCAACATATCTCTAGTAAAAACTACTCGTAACTGCAGTTCAACTTCAAGCTCAACTAGGTAGTAGTCCTGATCACAGCCATTAGGCCAGATGTGATATTTCCACTAGAAGAAATTAATACAGCTTCAGATACATGATATACGGCTACTGATCCAGTAAATGCATCTTTTTCTATTCTGATTCAGAAAAGAGGATAAGTACATTTGCATTCACATCAAGTGAAATAAAGTGGGCAATGAAATAAACAATATACATGAAATGAACAACAACAGAACTACAATTTTGCTCCCAGGGCAGTATTCACTCTCTCAACCCCTATGGAACCCAGAGTTGTCGTTATGGGAAACAAAAAGTCCAAGAGGATCATTTGTGATGGTGGCAAGTGAGGCCCTTCCTGCTTCCACACTGTGATACCCAAACCCATGTGTTCTTCCTCTTTGGAAGCACAGCACTGTATGAAAGTCAAACATCGAGGATTAGTCCCAAGGGGGGCACTTTTTACCAGAGGACAGGGTGAGCATTCTAAATTATAAGCTACAGATACAACATGGAACTTTGTACCCCTTCTGTCTAGGAACTGGCATTCCAGAAAAGCCACTCTTTAGAGGGGCATTGACACTGATCAGCAAAAGGTACGGCTGCTGGCACACAACAGGGCAGGAGGGAAAAGGAGTGGGACTCAGGTGGTCCTCCTAGGTGCCTCTTTGAACTTCCCTGCCACAATGTGATGTAAATGGACAAATGGCAACTTAGATCTGAAAAGGACATGATATCCAGAGCCCTTACCCCCTAAGAAATAAGGGTCTGGAACAAACTATTAGGTAAGCCACTTATGTCAGCAGAGGCTAATGGAGTGTGACAAGCATCTACAGTGAATAACAGAGAGCAAGTGAAACATTAGGGGCTGCGGATTGTCCTACAAATCTGCCTTTTCATAAGTCTCTCCTCAGACAGCACCCCACCATAATCCTAGAGCAGCAGCTTCCCAAATGTAACATAGATAAGGGGATCTAAACAGTGGAAAGGATGGACTGTGTGATCACAAACATGCATTATTACTCAAGATTGTTCCTCAAGGAGGGACTTGCCCAGAACAGGGACAGTCATCAGCAGAAAGCCTCCACTTGTGAAGCTGGACTAAGCTGAAAAGACCTGCTTCACCTAGGGTTGCTTCCTTCCCACGGCAGTCTGATTCTGGGCGACTAAGTGAGCAATGCAGGGTTATAAAGACCTGGACATCTTGGTTCAATCTGAGGGACTCTGATGAGCACTACATGTTTCAGAATTCCCTGCTGGCTCGAAATCCGTGCAAATTGACATCTTCCTTAGCTCAATGTTTTCTTATTTCTTCTTCTATCATTTCACAGCTGTTGATCCTAAATAGATGTCTTGCACCCAAACTTCTCCATAACTAATTCCAGAGAACAAGTTATGACATAGCCTGATTTCCTCTGTTAGAAATATTTGGGTTGTAACAAACACAACTTGAAACAGATGAAGCAAACATGAGAATTTATTAGGATATTTGGAGTATCCCAGAGAAGAATTCAACAGTTAAGGTATGAAAAGGGCAGAGGTGGACCTGGACATCGAGACCAGAAGAACCAGGTACTGGAACACAATAAGGAATCTCTTGATTTTGCTTCCATGATGGCTTCATTCTTCTCTCACTGCAGACCATGTTTCTCCATGTGGTAGAAAACATAGCCACTCACTGCACCCACATTTAAATACAGCTTGTGATGCTAAAATTATGTGGACAAAAAAAGATAGTCCTAGCTCTCTAGAAGCTTTATAGTGGAAAAGATAAAACATGCAATGATTATATTATCACAGTGAGATACACATGTACAGGTTCATATAAATTTGATAGGCATTAACAAGGAACAAGGGCATTTCAATGGCAGATTTGCAAAAGCATAAGACATAATAGAAATTTCAAAGAACTACAAGTTGTTCACAGAGGCCAGAAAATATTGCATAGGAGGAAAAAGTTTCAGAAGGGACCAGTGAATAGGCATTGGTTTGTACAAAAGTCCTTGCATTCCATAAGAATATTACACTTTTAAGTCCACAATGAGGCACATGATATTTCAACATGAGACATGTGTAATCAGAGTTGCATTTAAAAATAGTCACTTACGTATACATATGAAAAATGGACTAAAAAATTACCGCAAGGTACAGAAAACATGCATGCATCTGCAAGGGTTATGGGTGGTCAAGTTTATCAGCAGTTAGGCCAGGGATAGATATCGAACATCTGAAATCTTATTGATACATGTATGCACTAACACGACCTCTCAAAGCGCAACCTGAACGCATTTTGCTGGAACGACCAAATGACTGAGGTCTCAAATGTAGATTCCAAATGCCTATTGCTCTAGATTCTGCTATAAAGTTACTTTTGATAAATCTGGCATTCTCTGGGTGCATTTTATCTCAACATTCTAAAAGTGATATTCTTGAAACCAAAGTACCACAAATATACGGATCCATAGATACTCATGCCAGATTACACAAGGAAAAAACCAAACAGAAAGCAATCCTGGTACAGGTTTCATAATTCAGTCTGGACCTCAAAGAAAAACCACTACCTAGTAAAAGGAAAACAATGTAAACTGTCCTTTGTAGAAGTGTGCACAATTACAGGTCACTAGGTAGACCCGGATGGTAAGAGAACAAGAAAAGGTGATGCTTCCTGTATCTAGCCTCCTGCAGTATGTTACCTCAATGTACCTTATTGTGCTTGATAAAATAAAAAATCCACTCTAACTTTGAAACTTTCTTCTTGATGTAGGATTTGTGGTAGGAACCAGTAAGTGGCAATGCAGAGACATAGTTTCATGGTTTCCAAGGTAATTTCAAAAACACACTAAAAATCTCTAATTTTAGAATCAGAGCTCTCATGACACCAGAATGGTGAGTTCCAGTGATTAGTGCACAATATATTTGAACCTCCCCATCAGTTCTTAGCTTGACCTCTGTTGTCAGCATCAATCTTCCCTGTAACACGTGGTGTTTAGAAAAAATTTCTGCTTTGGGGCATTGAATCAATAGGCTAGTGGTGAAGTTCCATTATCCAGTGTAGGAAGTATTAGGTTTAACTGCTTAATAGTTAATGGAATAATCTATAATTTCCAAGACCTAATGAATCAATCACTGGGGTTGGAAAGAGAATGATAATAGATGGAAAGAAAAAATAGGGCAAAAATCACAAAATACAACATCACCCTGTAACTGTTCATTTGCAGAAGTCTGTCTCCCACATTTAGTAAAATGACTTCAAGATATTAAAAAGTAGGAAGACTTTTTTTCCTTGAGACAGAGACTCACTCTGTTGCCCAGGCTGGAGTACAGTGGCGCGATCTTGGCTCACTGCAACCTCCACCTCCTAAATTGATTTTTCTGCCTCAACCTACTGAGTAACAGGGATTAAAGGCATGTGCCACCACGCCTGGCTGATTTTTTAAATTTTTAGTAAAGATGGGGTCTCGCCATGTTGGCCAGGCTGGTCTTGAACTTCTGATTTCAAGTGATCCACCCGCTTCAGCCTCCCAAAGTGCTGGGATTACAGACGTGAGCCTCTGTGCCTGGCCAGGAAGTTCATACACTTAAGTATGAATAACAGTTGGAAAATTAGATGCTTTCAAGTTACAGCATGGAAAGACAGAATTATATGGCTGTTGAACTCCCGGTATGCTGGTGTAGAAAATTATTCTCATTTATTTAAAATTCCAACTTAACCAAAATGTTGCAAAATCAAGAAAATACTGTTCAAGGTAAAGATGCAATATACCATATTGATATAACAATTTGAACACAAAAGAAGTCTTCATTTTTCCTAAGTTTGGAATCAAGCTCAATGTTGGACTTTTCTAAATTTCATCAGCATACAAAAAACATGAACTTTGTCAAGCAACATTATTGAGAGATCATTAAAAAATCCATACTTAGCTAAGGGATGGCTCATGCATTTTACTGGAGGCATACTTATACAATGGTTAAGTTCTCAATATGAAGTTTTCCATGGAGATAATGCAACTAGTGAAAGAAAGTGAAACATATTTCAAATGATAAAATAATGGAAATCTTGTTTCCTAATACAGACAGTTCCTGACTTAAGATGATGTGACTTACAGTTGCTCAGCATTACAATGGTATCCATACAACTACTGTTTTTCACTTTCAGTATTCAATAATTACATGAGATATTCAACACCTCTTTACAAAACAGAATACACATTAGAATGTGTTCTGTGAATGTTTAAGGTAGGCTAGGCCAGGCTATGACGTTTGCTAGGTTGGGTGTATTAACGCATTTTTGACTTTACAATGTTTCACCTTACAATGGGTTTATTGGGATGTAACCCCATTGTAAGTCCAGGAGCTTCTGTACTTTTCCAGCAACCAAAGAAATTTGCTGGAAGATAAAACACATTTTCTTGAATGTCAAAAATGTTTTTTTAGCACAAAATTCCCTAATACTTTACATCTTCATTAATGTGACTTTTAATTCACTTATCCATCTAATTTTTAAAGATATTTTATGCAACACAAAAACCATAATAGCAGCGCAAAATATCTATGAAACCTTATCATAGTAAACTAAAATAGTGGTATTTGGATTACACATGACTTAAGATACATTTATATAATGTATGGAGGCATCTCACTAAATGAAAAAAAGATTTGATACATTACTACTTTATTTCATTTAGTTTGGGTGTTGCAATGTCGTTGACGCATCTTTATTTTGCTCATTCAGTTATGTATCACTATGGTTATTCTGTGGTTCCTGCCTTTGCATATTTATTTTATATAAACTATTACTCAGTCTCTGAGGATGCAGACAGCTTATATAATGTTGGCTTCAGTTACTGAACAGAAAGATCAGTAAAAACAAAATACCCCCTTATATATGTCTATAATAAGGAAAAAGAAATGTCATCAGTTAAGCTACTTATCCAAGTAATCCATGTTACATGAGTTTCCATTTTTTGTATTATTTTTAAAAAATAAAAGCAAGTAGTATGTAGTGTGTCTTCAGACATCAGAGGCACTATAAGGCATGTGCATTTCATACTCCCAATTACATTAAATTATATGTAAGCCCAAATGCAAAGCTTATGTGACACTGCAAGATAGGCCACAAATAACAGGAAGAAATTTCTTAGATGTTTCAATGACCAATTTATTCACAAATTTTTAATACTTCAAAGTGAACATCTACCAACCACTTAAAATTGGGTATTTCTGGTACCTATGTCCACAAAAGGTATATGGCTTCCCTTGCTAGTACTATATTGAAGGGCAAGTATTCCCAGTGTCTTTAAATTGTTAGGTTCTCCATAATATGAATTCTCCAAAATACAAAACAGTTACTTGTTGCACTGTCCCATGTTGAGTACTTTCACAGAATTCCATTCCTAAGGACATTTTCTTATGTAAAATGAACTGTCATTTCTTAAAAATACTGCCTCATTTCCTGCATTCATAGGGTTTTCCCATATCCCCAGTGGGAATATTTCTAATAGCTTAGCAGACTTGACTTCTGGAAGGCTTTCTGATATTCATAGGATTCTTCTTTGCTGTGAATGTTCTACTCTATAAGGCTTGACTAGGGTTTTGAAAGTTTTTGAGATACACTGCAATCTGTCATTCTCTATAAATTCTGACCAGCTTTCCATACACCACCTCATTTATAGAATTCCCATCCTAATGGAGTAGAGACACATAACACAATGTGACTGCCTAAAACTGTTATAATTGTATTTCCTGAAGTCCAAGATATGATCAAAGACTCCTATTATTCCTAGGATTTTTTTACTGTATGAGTTCTCTGATGATTGATGAGCTGTGACTTCTGTGAGAAAGCTTTCCCACATGCACTGCACTGATAAGGCTTCTCTCCTGTATGAATTCTCTGATGATTAACCAGCTGTGACTTCTGAGAGAAGGCCTTCCTACATTCACTGCATCCATAGGGCTTCTCACCAGTATGTGTCCTTTGATGTGGTATAAGGTGTGACTTCCGAGAGAAAGCTTTGCCACACTCATTACATTCAAAGGGTTTCTCTCCTGTATGTATTCTCTGATGATTAATGAGACTAGACTTCTCCCTGAAGGCTTTTCTACATTCATTGCATTCATAAGGTTTTTCTCCTGTATGAGTTCTCAGATGTCTAATTAGCTCCGACTTCTCAAAAAAAGCTTTCCTGCAAAGACTGCATTCATAGGGTTTCTCTCCAGTGTGAATTCTCTGGTGGGTATTTAACTGTGATTTCTGGGAGAATGCTTTTTCACAGTCCCTGCATTCATACGGTTTTTCTCCAGTATGAGTTCTCTGATGAGTTGCAAGACTTGACTTCTCACCAAAGGCCTTCCCACATTCAGTGCATTCATATGGTTTCTCCCCTGTATGTGTCCTCTGATGCGATATTAGATGTGACTTCTGACAAAAGGCTTTCCCACATTCAGTGCATACATATGGTTTTTCTCCTGTATGAATTCTCTGATGATTAGTGAGACTTAATTTTTCACTGAAAGCTTTCCCACATTCACTGCATTCATATGGTTTTTCTCCTGTATGAGTTCTCTGATGTCTAACAAGCTGTGATTTCCTGCTGAAGGCTTTCCCACATTTACCACATATAAAGGGTTTTTCTCCTGTGTGTGTCATCTGATGTGATATGAGATGTGACTTTTGTGAGAAGGCCTTCCCACACTGAAGGCATCCATGAGGTTTCTCTCCTGTATGGGTTCTCTGATGATTAATGAGACTTGACCTTTCTCTAAATGCTTTCTGGCATTCGCTGCATTCATAGGGTTTCTCTCCAGTATGAATTGTCTGATGTCTAACAAGCTCTGATTTCTCAAAAAAGGCTTTTCTACAATCACTACATCCAAAGGGTTTTGTTCCTGTGTGAGTTCTGTGATGGGTAACAAGTTGTGACTTCCTGCTGAAGGCTTTCCCACATTCCCTGCATTCAAAAGGCTTCTCGCCAGTATGAATTCTCTGATGATTAATAAGATTTGACTTTTCACTAAAGGCCCTCCCACATTCATTGCATCCATAGGGTTTTTCTCCTGTGTGTGTTCTCCAATGTGATATGAGATGTGACTTCCGGGAAAAAGCTTTCCCACATTCACCACATTCATATGGTTTCTCTCCTGTATGTGTCCGCTGATGGGATGTGAGCTGTGACTTTTGGGAGAAGGCTTTCCCACACTGGCTACAATTATAAGGTTTTTCTCCTGTATGAGTTCTGTGATGTGTAACAAACTGAGACTTCTGGGGAAAGGTTTTGCCACATTTACCACAGCCAAAGGCTATGTCTCTTATATGTCTGCTCTGATGTTTAATGAGACTTGGTTTCTTAGTGAAGCGCTTCCTACATTCACTGCATTCATACAGTTTCTCCCCTAAACGATTTCTATGATATATGATAATCTGTGACTTTTTATAGCTCTCTTTATATTTATCACAGTCATAGTATTTTAACCAAGTATCAGTATCCTCAGGCTTGGAATGGAGAAAAAAATTATCAAACACATTAAACTCATCTGATACTGTTTTTACATAATCTCCTTTTGGAATAAGCAAATCTAAATGATGTTTTAAAATCAATCCATCTAAGTCACCTTCATTGTTTGATTTACTTAGAGGAACAAAGTTCATGTTCGGATTGAAATTTTTTCCAAATGCATCATATTCATGACCTCTCTTTATAATTTTAAGCTGGTCTTGGTTATCCTCGTGCCACATGATGTTATCATCTACTTTCCAGATGTCTATAAAGGAAACAAACAAACAAAAATATTTGGCTGTGCTTTCTGTGGGAAAAAAAAAACTAGCAATGCTATGTTGAGGGGTTGGCTGCTTTTAAGGCTTAGTTTCCTAGTCTGAAATAAGTTCCAAGTATAATAACTATCTTCGAGATATGTCAGGGACATGCTAAAAACAGAAACAGGAAAGTATCTGAAGATTAAGTCACCTTTGGTTGTTGACAAATATGTTTATTAAATGAGGAATGTAAAAAACACATGAAGAGCAATAAGAAGCAAAGCAAAAAGGATGGAAGAAGCTTTGACCCAATGTTTTGAGTAATTAATCCATTCAACACTTTCCGAGTATATACTATGTCCAAGTAGTGTGTTTGGTACAAGAGACACAAGAGAAAAAATAAAGTCCTGTCATTATAAAACTTACATTGTAATGGAAAAGATAAATAATATTTTTTAAACAACAAAACCATATGCTTGTAGTAAATACTAAGAAGAAAATGAACATATTTAGGTAGTCATTTCAAGCTTAACGAATGAGAAGTAGTTTGCATTTTTCTCATTCGAAAGTTTTATTTAAACTTGCCATATACATCTTCACATTACTACTAAGAAAGCCATTTAATGCAAACCATTTTGAAAACCATATCATCTTTCATCTAAACTGTTCAAGCACAGAACTTTAAAATCCACATGTACTTTCATTAGAACTATCCCAAGACCCAAGTTCCCATTCTAAAATTAATCTGACAGTTTGACAGTCATTTGTTATATAGCTCTATTCCAATTATCCTCATGATATAACCATTTATACTATTGTAAATTCACTTCAAAACACATATTTTTAGAGACAGGGTCTTGCTCTGTTGCCCAGGATGAAATGTGGTATTATGATAATGGCTCACCACAACCTCAACCTCCCAGGCTCAAGAGAGCTTTCTACATAAGCCTCCCAAGTAGCCAGAATACACAGGCATGCTACCACCACAACTAGCTAGTTTTGCTGTTCTTCTTGTAGAGACAGGGTTTCCCTATGTTGTCCAGGCTGCTCTTGAACTCCTGGGCTCAAGCAACTCTCCCACATTAGCCTTACAAAGTGTTGGGGTTGCAGGTATGAGCCAACATGCTGGGCCCATATTTCAATAAAAATCTATACTTAGAACTTTTTGTAACATTGTACCTAGAGGTAAGAAAGATAGCCAGGCACAGTGGCTCATGCCTGTAATCCCAGCACTTTGGGAGGCCGAGGCAGGTGGATCACGAGCTCAAGAGATGGAGACCATCCTGGTCAACATGGTGAAACCCCATCTCTACTAAAAATAAAAAAAAAAAAAAAATTAGCTGGGCATGGTGGTGCATGCCTGTAGTCCCAGCTACTCAGGAGGCTGAGGGAGGAGAATTGCCTGAACCCAGGAGGCGGAGGTTGCGGTGAGCCAAGATCGCGCCATTGCACTCCAGCCTGGGTAACAAGAGTGAAACTCCGTCTCAAAAAAAAAAAGATAATCAGTAATGTGAAAACATTCCACAAATTCACAAATTTAAATGTCAACTGAAGGTCATTAATATATTTGTAGGATTATATGGCGGAGGTAGAATCAATAAGATTTCCTGATGTATTTGGTATGGAGAAAATTAAGGGAAAAAGAGAATCAAGAATGATCCTTAGGTTAGCGTTTGAACAATGTGGTAGAATATGGTGTTAATGAATTCAGGAAGACTGAGGGAGAAATATGAGTTGAAATCAAGACTTCACTATAAACATATTTTTTGTTTTTTGAGACAGGGTCTTGTCCTCTCACTCAGTCTGGAGTTTAGTGGTGCAATTATAGCTCAATGCAGCTCAAGTGATCCTCCCAACTCAGCCTCCTGAGTAGCTGAGACTGCAGGTGCATGCCACCACGCTCAAGATAATTTTTAGAATTTTTTGTAGAGATGGGGTCTCACCATGTTGCTCACGTTGGTCTCAAACTCCTAGGCTCAAGTAGTCATTCTACTTCAGCTTTCCAAATTGCTGGGATTGCAGACATTGTGTTAGGTCTAATCTATTAATTTTAAGATGTATGGGAAGTTTCAATAAAATGATAGCAGAAAATACCAGAGCAGAAAATGAAATACTTATAAACTTATACTCATGTTAAATATAATCACATTATTGAACTATTAAGTATGTGTTTGAAATTTACATCTTCCCCTTATCTTTATTGTTTTCCTAATAGAAAAATGAAATTGCCTTATATTTGCTCACTTGTGGTGTATTCCAAATAGTCCCACTCTCCATCACTTGCTCTGCTCTAAACTGTCACATTATCTCAATGAAATATCTTTTTTTTTTTTTGAGACGGAGTCTCACTCTGTTGCCCAAACTGGAGTGCAGTGGCCCAATCTCAGCTCACTGCAACCTTCACTTCCCAGGTTCAAGCGATTCTCCTGCCTCAGCCTCCCAAGTAGTTGGTACTACAGGCACCTACCACCACGCCCAGCTAATTTTTGTATTTTTAGTAGAGACAGGGTTTTACCATATTAATCAGGCTGGTCTTGAACTCCTGACCTTGTGATCTGCCCACCTCAGCCTCCCAAAGTGCTGGGATTACTGCAGTGAGCCACCGCGCCTGGCCTGAAATACCCTTCTAATTGGTTTACCTGCTTCCAATTTTACATCTTCTATTCGGCAGTCAGATTAAATTTTCACAATTTTAAATTAGGTTTAACTTTTAAAAATTTCTTCACTCAATTATAACACCTTTGTATTGCCTACAAGTTGAGATATGATCTAGTTCCCTCCAACTTACCTGTATCTCTCTGGCAATACTGACCTCAGCCACATGGACTTCCTTTCTGTTTCTTAAATTAACAGCCATTTTCTGACTTAACATATTCTTATCATTCCTTTTGGAGACACTTTCCCCATGCTCATTTCACATCTTTCATGTTTACAATTAGTTTTTCCATGTTGTGTCTCCTCAAAACTTGTATACAGAAGATTAACTCCCAGTATGGCTGTATTTGGAGAGAGGACATCTAAGGAAGTACGGTTAAATGAGGTCATAAGGGTAAGACCCGGATCAAATAGGGTTATTGTCTTTATAAAACTAGATAGAAGGCCAGACACAGTGGCCCACCTCTGTAATCTCGGCACTTTGGGAGGCTGAAGTGGGCAGATTACTTGAGCCCCAGAGTTCAATAACAGCCTGGACAACATGATAAAACTCTGTACCAAAAAAAATTTTTTTAATTAGCCAGGTGTGGTGGTTGTACACCTGTGGTCCCAACTGCTTGGGAGGATCACTTGAGGTGATCACAGGAAGTTAAGGCTGCAATGAGCTGTGATTGTGACACTGCACTCCAGCCTAGGTGAGTGAGACCCTGTCTCAAAAAAGAAAGAAAATCCAGAGAGATTACTTACTCTCTCTCTCTACATGCACACACTGAGGAAAGGCCATGTGAATGTACAGTGAGAGGGTGGCTGTCTACAAGTCAGGAAGAGAGCCCTCAACTCTTGATCATGCTGGTACCTTGATCTTGGACTTTCCATCACTAAAACTGAGAAATTCTGTTGTGTAAGCTCCCCCAAATATGGTATTTTGTCATGGCAGCCTGAGCAGACTAACAGAAGATTCTCTCATCTTATTTACTTTTTCAATAACCCTTAGCAGGATCTGAAATTTTTCATGCTTACTTGCTACCCTGTTCTTTTTTTATCCTCCCATTAGCAAGTAACCACTATGTGGGCAGGAAATATATCTCTAATGCTCCTTATTATACCCACAGTACCTAGCACAGTAACATAAAAATAAAAGAAGTCAATAAATACCCCATTTTCTCTGAACTCCTAAAGCAGTCTGTGCAGAAAAGAGCATCGGGTCCAAAACTACTATCCACAGAAAGCCCTGCTTGCAAGGTTGGCCCTCGGCTGGCATCTGAGAATGTGGGTTTCAGGAATATCCCTACTATTTCCTAACTGATAAAAGTCGCTTACTATGCCAAGACTGCATACAAACAATATGATCAGTACACGTTAGGCAGAGAATACCTACATGACCAGCTCTCAGTAAAGACCTTGGGCACTCATCTCTAATGGTCTTTCCTGGGCAGAAATATCAAAAACATGCTACTACATTTTTGTTGCAGAGGATAGTAAACTCTGACCCTTATGGGAGGGAGGGAGCACATGGATTCTTCCAGATTCTGTCTGTACCTTTTTCATTTATGATCCAGCTATGTGTACTTAAAATGTCACTGTAATAAATCTTAGTCATAAGTACAACAATATGCTGAGTCCCATGAGTCTTCCTGGTGACTCTGAACATGGGGGGATCTTGAGGACCCTGACACACACAGTCCCAATTTGTGTAATCTTGATAATTAGCTTTGCACTGCCTTACAACAAAATGAATGCTCAATGTTTAAGTGCTGAATTTTTAAATAAACGCAAATGTCTCATCTTCTTAACTAAGTTGTATGCTTCTGGAAACTTATTTTTTTATCTTACTTTGTAATCCTTTTCAGTAAAAGATAAAACCCACTAGGTGAGTGGATCTCAACTAAAAAGGGCACATAAAAACTACAAGAAGTATTTCAAATTACAAATCCCAGTCTTACCACATAAAACTAAAAAAACAAAAAATAAAAAAAAAAAGAAACAGGCATGGTGGCACACACCTGCAGTGCCATCTACTCAGGAGGCTGAGGCAAGAGAATCACTTGGGCCCGGGAATTTGAGGCTACAGTGACTTATGATCACATCACTGCACTGCAGCCTCGGCAACAGAGCAAGACCCTGTCTATAAAAACAAAGACAAAGTTTTTGGAAAGAAATTTATTTAATATTGCATGTTCTATAACTGAAGTGAAGATATTAAATTTAAGCCCCTTATAGTATTTTTTAGATGGCTGGTCCCAAATATTATATATACTATGATCAGGTCACAGATGTGACTCCAGAAAAAGGTGAGAAAAATTTAGGCTGGGGATTTAAGAAACGTTTCATAAATAAAACTGCAGTGGAAACCAAGTTCCTATTAAAAGGATTAAGAAATTCTAGGTAACTAGCATAATACCATCAAAAGTTCAAGATGTCACATATCTCAAAACACATGAGAATTGATTGTGAATGGGGGGAAGGAAGAAATTACTGAACAGACAACAATAGTGTCATACAAAGGAGGTCCCAGAGAGAAGAGATTACAAGTCTATAGCAGATGCTGTCACTGTCTCACCCACACCCATCAATTAAATTCAGAGGATACCTGCAGCTTTGATGGACAGTTTCTGACATGATGTCTACCCCAGGCACTCACAACTCTCTAACAGGAACTTTCTTGGGCTGAAAGCACAAGTTTGGTCTGTATGCAGGGACCCTGGACATCCTGGATATGTCCAGGCATATCCATATTATCTATGGCCGAGCAAACCTCAACACTGAGATGGGAGTATATAAATACCTGGGCTCCCTAGTACCTCAGAGTGTCAAGACTGAGGAATATTTTCACAGTGCCTCAGAAGGCGCTCAGCCCATCCTTCATGGGCATTAATGCTCCCAGCACTTCCTGGTCTGACTTGTCCATTCTCTCACATTTGTGGGGACCATGTCCCCAGTAAGTTCTTATACTGGCATACGTATCTTAAGGTCTGCTTTTGAGGGAATCTGAAGTAAGTCAATGTCACATAGCAGATAATGAGTAAAGAGGTTCAGCTGATCAGAGCAGTGTGGGATGCTTTAGGAAATAAAATATGGTGGCATCATTAAGACAGCTTGTAAAATATTAGAATCTGGATCTATCTAGCAATTTGAGAACTTCAGAAATGAGACATCATGGATCTACTTTTAAGTGAAAATTGAGGCAGGAAGGCTTTTAAGAGATACTTTCCAGCCAGGCACAGTGGCTTACACCTGTAATCCGACCACTTTGGGAGGCCAAGTCGGGTGGATCACAAGGTCAGGAGCTCGAGACCAGTCTGGCCAACATGGCGAAACCCCATCTTTACTAAAAATACAAAAATTAGCTGGGCATGGTATCAGGCACCTGTAGTCCCATGTGTTTGTGAGGCTGAGGCAGGAGAATTGCTTGAACTTGGGAGGCAGAGGTTACAGTCAGCCAAGATTGTGCCATTGCACTCCAGCCTGGGTGAAAGAGCAAAACTCTGTCTCAAAAAAAATAAAATTAAATTAAGAAGATACTTTCCAAATAGAAAAAAACTTTAAAACAACATGAAACGATAGTAAAAGGGATTATTCGGCTGGGCGTGGTGGTTCACGCCTGTAATCCCAGCACTTTGGGAGGCCAAGCTGGGCAGATCATGACGTCAAGAGTTTGAGACCAGCCTGGCCAACATGGTGAAAGCCCATCTCCACTAAAAATACAAAAAAATTAGCCAGGCATAGTGGCATGCCCCTGTAGTCCCAGCTGCTTGGAAGGCTGAGGCAGGAGAACTGCTTGAACCTGGGAGTTGGAGGTTGCGGTGATCAGAGATAACACCACTCTACTCCAGCCTGGGTGACAGAATGAGACACCATCTCAAAAAAAAAGAAAGAAAGAAAAAAAGAAAGGGATTATTCACATACTCCATGGTGTCTAATCTGTATAAAAAAACACACAAAGGAACCTAATTTTAAAGAGGATAAGGATAAGATGGGAGAAATAATGGCTCCATTTTCTAATATAATGAGACTAAACAGATTTGGGCTTTGGAAAGTGGTCCTTTGGCCATCAGAGATACCCAAATTGAGGACAAAATCAAGATGCTTCAGTGTACAAAAGGAGATATCTTTGACCACAGGGGAGGGAGGAACTGAAGGGGATAAACATGTGAGAGGACGGAATACCAAACAAGAAGTTAAGGTACCAGATGTTACAGAGAATAATAAAGTCATGGCCAAAATAAGCAGGATGCATTTCATTATAAGCTACAAAGAAGCTACGTCTAAATGTGACTTACTTGAGTAGCTAATGAGCTAATGTCAGTTGTTCTGAGGCACCACCGAAGGTTAGAGATGCTGAAGAGATCTCTAACGCACATTTCAGAGATGCCAACCCATCACTGAGAAGACTGCATGGGACTTCTACTTTCTCCCACCTGCCTGGTTCTCAGACACTCACCTGGAGACCATGAACTTGGAATTTCTTCATCTCCAATCCATGGCTCTTCTCCTTGCTCCAACTTGAAGATGACATCTGGCTTCATAGCTTCATACCCTGTTCGGGGAAAATCACAAAGGCCTTAGGCCCAACTGCTTGCCCTTTAGGGCCTCTGAAGATGAGCAAGGGTTCACATCAGGCTTAGCCTGATAGAGCTGTACCTCAAAAGGGTAAGTAATTCTCAAAGTTACAGTCATGGTCTCCCTGGTGGCTAACAGGGTCTAGTACAAAGCCATTAAACACTTCAGAGGGCCTGGCGCTAGTAAGTCTGGGTTTACATCCAGGCTCTTTAATTTAGTAGCTGTTAACTCTTGGGAAAGTTACTTATCTTGGCCTCTTATTTTCTCATCAGGAAAAATGAGTAATAATTATACTTGCCACACAGGATTGCTCTGGTGATTAAATGAGTTCATACATGTAAAGCACTTCATATAATATGTGACATATAGGAAGTTATATGCATTAGGCCAAACTATTAATACTTAAGTTTCAGAGGCTGCATAACACACTTCAGACTTCATTATTGAAAGCTGAGACCCAAATACCGTCTTGGTGTCATAGTCCAAGCAACTGTGATCTAAATTGGTCCAAAATCATTAAAAATTTCAAAAGCGTAACTATAGGCCTCTGAAACTTCCCAGCAACTACAAATAAAAGCCAATGCACTGGGCATAATCCCAGGTACTCGAGAAAGCTTTTATTACCCAATGACACCAGGCTGCTATAGTTCTCCAACATGACATCCTTATATAAATTCTTCTGAGAGGGATCCAGCAGCTGCCACTCCTTTTGGGTGAAGTCCACAGATAAATCGTCAAATGAAAATGAGTCCTGTAAGAGCACAATCCTAGTAAATCTGAAGCAGTTAACACTGTATGACGTGAGAAAAAAATATTGGAGCTTGAGCACATTATTCTCATAACAAGTTACGCAAAATGCCTACTACGTCCCTACCTTTGTATATTTTGTGTGATAAAACGTCATTGTGCATCCTTCCATCCTTCTACAACTGTTAACCTAAATATTAAAAAGAGAGGCTCTGCAGAAGAAAACGATGTTTATTTGGGAAGAGAGTATTGCAATGGGAAGACACATGCCACAGTAAACTGTATGTGTATTCAGGGAGGTAAAGGAAGACAAAAGTTTTTAAAGAAAACAATGAGGAACATCACATAATTGTTTTGAAACAGTTATCCCTGGCTACAAAGACCGATAATAAGGGCGACACCAGTCCAAAGATGGACAGGCAGCTGCTGGGCAGACGTCCCAATAAAGGTATGTTTTGTGTAAGGCTTCAATGGCCTTTGTGCAAGGTTGTGGTTTTTGCAGTCTTTTGTGATAATTTTTATCAGGCATGCAAGTGTGAGAACCCTCTTTTCACAGGTTTCCCAGCTCTACTTGTCAGGGTTAAAAAAAAAATAACATTAGTGACTCCATTTTCAATCTGACAACTTTCACAGAAGACATAAGAACTGGAATAGGTGACTTTAAATACCCTGAACCACCAATAATATATTTACTGAACCTCAAATCTGGCAAAAGAAAGAGAACAGGATAGTCAAGGTGGCTCACGCCTATAATCCCAGCACTTTCGGAGGCCAAGGCAGGAGGATCACTTGAGTCAAAGAGTTTGAGACCAAACTGAGTATTATAGTGAGACCTTGTCTCTACAAAAATAAAAAATATAAATATTAGCTGGGTATGGTGGCACATGCCAGTAGTCCCAATTACTTGGAAGGCTGAGGTGGGAAAACCCAGGCTTCAATGAGCTGTGACTGCACCATTGCACTGCGGCCTGGGTGACAGTGAGACCCCATCTCAGAAACAAACCAATACAAAAAAATACCAAGGAGAAAGATAATAAAATAATACTCTGGAAAGTTCCATTGTCTTACAGAGGGCTGCAAACATGCACACTTACAAATAAAATAAACTTGTAATAACTAAGAGAAGTGAGACTACGGTGTGGATACAAAGCAGGGAGAGCTTCGCTCTAGTTGAGTGTAAAGTTAGGCTCTATGGAAAAGGTAACATTTAAATGGGTTTTAGAATATTAGTTGTTTTCCACAAAGAAAAGGAAGGAAAGGCATTCAGGGAGGCAGCAGCTCTGATTTAAAAAAGAAAAAACAAAAAACTGAGAACTGAGGAGATGCATACACTTCAGTCTGAAAGGCTAATGAGGAATGGGACAGTGATCAGATTAAAGGCCTCAGTAGGAGCTGGGGCAGAATGTGGTTAACTTGGCTAGGATACTTTCTTGTTGCCAACAGTTAGCCATGAAAGACTTCACAAGAAAGGAGTGACATAACCAAACACAGATTTTAGAAAGGTGACTAGACTTTGGATCAAGATAGATTTCTGTCTCAAAGTCTTCTAAGATAAAAAGAAAACATAAGCACACATCTTTAAAAAATCTAGAATGTCACTGGAAAATAAAAAAATAAGTTTAACCCTAATAGCACATGATACACTTTAAAAGGAGTCAGTGAATTTGAAGACAGATCAATAGAAACTGTTAGTTTTGAACAGAGAAAATGACTAAAAAATGAACAGAGCTCAGGACACTATCAAATAATACCAAAGAATCTAACATGAGTGTCACAGGAGTCCAGGAAAGAGAAAAGAAAGAGCATGGTGAAAATAAATTCCCAAGAAGTAATAGCTGACTATTCTGTAAAAGTGGCAAAAGATATAAGCCAACAAACTCCAGAAGTTCAGTGAATGCTAGATAATAGATGTAAGGAAATCCATACCCAGACAAATCATAAAAAGCTAGAAAGAAAAAAAATCACATCACTTAAAGGGAAAGGCGATTCAGATAGTGCAAATTTATTTATTTGTTTTTTGAGAGAGTTTTGCTCCGTTACCCAGGCTGAAGTGCAGTGGCAGGATTATAGCTCACTGCAACCTCTGCCCTCTGGGTTCAAGTGATCCTCCCATGGCAGCCTTCTGAGGAGCTGGGATTACAAGTGCATGCCACCACACCCAGTGAAATTTTTTGAGACACAGTCTTGCTCTGTGACCCAGGCTGGAGTGAAGTGGTGTGATCTTGGCTTACTGCAACCTCTGCCTCCTAGGTTCAAGCAACTCTCCTGCCTCAGCTTCCTAAGTAGCTGGGATTACAGGCACCTGCAACCACACCTGGCTAGTTTTTGCATTTATAGTACAGATGGGGTTTCACCATGTTGGCCGGGCTAGTGTCGAACTCCTGACATCAGGTGATCCACCCACCTTGGCCTCCCAAAGTACTGGGATTACAGGCGTGAGCCAATGCACCCGGCCAAGAGTAAGCAAATTAATAACTGTCTTAGGCTGGGGTGGGAAGAGGAACTGACCAAAAATGTCACAAAGATTGTTTTGAGGTGATGGAAATCTTCTAAACTAGATTGTGCTGAATGGTTATATAGCATACGTTTACATAAAAATCACTGAATTATACATTAAAATGGTGGAATGTATTGAGGCCATACTTCCATAAAGCTATTAAACTTATGCCAACATCCTTCACAATATAGATGAAATAGCTATTCTTTGAAAAACAACGTGCCCAAAGTGACAAGAAGAGACAAAATCTGAATTAATCCTCTAACTGTTAAAGAAACTGACCCCACAATTTTAAACTTTCCTTCAAAGGAAATACAAGATCCAGGCAGGTTTAGTGGCAATACTTCCAAGCATTTACATAAAATAATTCAGCCAGATGCGCTGGCTCATGCCTATGATTTCAGCTACTTGATAGACTGAGGCAGGAGAACTGTTTGAGGCCAGGAGTTCCACACGAGCCTGGGCAACACAGTGAGATCCTATCTCTAACAAAAGAAAAAAATATTTAAACTAGCTGGACTTAGTAGTTTATGTCTGCACTCATATCTACCTGGGAGGCTGAGGTGGGAGGAATGCTTGATCCCAGGAGTTCAAGGCTCCAGTGAGCACTCTAGCCTGGGTGACAGAGTGAGACCATGTCTCTTAAAACAAAAAGAAAAAAAAAGTTATTTCTGATGTTTTTGTTAATATAAAAATCTAATCAAATGTAAAGAAAAATCACTGGAACGAATAAGTGGGCTTAAGAAGTTCCTGTATACAAAGTCAATATGCAAAAATATAGTGTATTTCCATGGTTTGGCAGGAAAATTGTTCTAATTAACAAAATTTCAGATACCATTTATTGTAGAAATGGCTAACTGCAGCTCTGGAATAAAAAAATTTAAAACTGTGCCCAGATATATTTTGTCATGCTAGAAAACAGTATTCTAGCTGATAAGAAGAAATGATAAAAGTAGCATGTCACCATCTTGCAGCTTCCACTAAAATCATCCACCTGGCCAGGTGCAGTGGCTCAATGCAATGATTATGTAAGATGTTGTGGCTTTAAATATGCTATAAATATTCAACCCTAAGAACCTGTTATGGTCCAATAGTTAATATATCACTGTGCCAATTTTGTTCCAATCCTGATCATCTATTCTGAGCCTATTTTCCTCTGATTTCTTAACTATTTAAACTTCTCTTTTTCACTGGAAGGCTTACACATCTCTTCTAATTCCCTGGGAAAAAAAATAAGAACTAAACAATCAACTCACCTGTAACATGGTCATTTTCTGCTGCAGTACGAGATGCTTAGCCAGTCTGAAATCTGACCCGAGACTCTGGAGTGAGGTCTTGGCTACGTCTTCTACACTGAGAACGAATTCCTGGTTCCTCCTTTCTTATCTCACATGAGCAGGCTTATTTGTAGGGACCAGGATCTGTGGACTTTGGGACAAATGTACTTCAACTGGTATATTCACATTGCATATGGAATCTTTTTCTCTCTTGCTAGGAACTTGGAATTTATGACTACCTAAGGCCAGAGGTATGCTTGCTATATAACTGAAACAGGGTTCTCAGGGAAACAATATAGTAAAATAGAACAGTGGAAGCCTATGTCTCTGCAAACAGATAAAGAAATATCGGAGGCTGAGTGGGGTGGCTCGTGTTTGTAATCTCAGCACATTGGGAGGCTGAGGTGGGTGGACCGACTAGGTCAGGAGTTCGAGATCAGCCTGGACAACATGGTGAAACCTCGTCTCTACTAAAAACACAAAAATTAGCCGGTGTGGTGGCGCACACCTGTAATCCCAGCTACTCAGGAGGCTGAGGCAGGAGAATTGCTTGAACCTGGGAGACGGAGGTTGCAGTGAGCCAAGACAGCACCACTGCACTCCAGCCTGGGCGACAGAGCAAGATTCCGCCTCAGAAAAAAATAAAAAATTTAATATATGTATATATATATACACACACACACACACACACACACACAAATCTATACATATATCAGACATAATTGTGAGATTCACTCAATATTCACTGTGAACACTGAAATGCAAATCAGCTTAACAGGTGCTGTTAGAAAAAATACAGTTTATATGATTTGTATTAAAACAGATTTGAATTTCAATCAACCCTTTTCCTTTACCAGCTAGAAGATTTTTGGCAAAAATACAAATTTCACCATTCTGAGCCTTAGTTTCCTATTAAAATCTTCTATTAATACATCCTTAACTTTTGTCTGCCAATTCTATCCATTTCAGAAGGAAATGGATTAAAATTTCACAATATGACTACAGATTGGTCAGTTTTTCCTTATAATTCTGCCGACGTTCGGATTATATGCGTAAGGCTACGTTGTTGGATTATATGCGTAAGGCTACGTTGTTGGATTGTATGCGTAAGGCTACGTTGTTTGATGCACGGAGGTTAAATAGAGGATGTAAAAACAATCATTTTGTAACAATGCTCCATACCCCAAATAATGTTTTTTGCCTTAAAATCTATTTTATCTTAGATGAAGTCTGCGACATAAGCCTTTTTTTCTTTTTTTTTGGTAGGGTCTTGATTTCTCACCCAGGCTGGTGTGCGGTGGCACAATCATAGCTCACTGCAATCTTAAACTTCGGGCTCAAGGGATCTTCCTGCCTCACCCTCCCAAGTAGCTGGGACTACAGGTGTGTGTGCCTCCATGCCCGGCCAACTTTTTGTGTTTTTCTTCTTTTGTAGAGAAAGGATCTCGCTATGCTGCCCAGGATAGTCTCATACTCCTGGGCTCAAGCAATCCTCCCACCACAGCCTCCCAAAGTGCTGGGATTATAGGCATAAGCCACCACACCTGGCTTTAGCATTCTTTTGGTATTTACCTGGTACGTTATCATCTGTTCAACTAGACTTAAAATTTCAGCATCATTATGTTTGTTTCTTATGAGCAGCAAAATTCAAATGTATTGGTGTTTAAAAAAAAAAAATTCCAACCGGCCAGGTGCGATGGCTAACGCCTATAATCCCAGCACTTTGTGAGGCCGAGGCAGGTGGATCACCTGAGGTCAGGAGTTCAAGACCAGCCTGACTAACATGGTGAAACTCTGTCTCTACTGAAAACACAAAAATTAGCCAGACAAGGTAGCATGCCCCTGTAATATCAGCTACTCGGGAGGCTGAGGCAGGAGAATTGTCTGAACCTGGGAGGTGGAGGTTGCAGTGAGCCAAGATCACGCCATTGCACTCCAGCCTAGGCAACAAAAATCCAAACCAACAATCTTTTTTTTTTTGAGACAGAGTCTTACTCTGTCACCAGGCTGGAGTGCAGTGGCGCAATCTTGGCTCACTGTAACCTCCACCTCCAGGGTTCAAGCAATTCTTCAGCCTCAGCCTCCAAGTAGCTGGGACCACAGGCACGTGCCACCATGCCTGGCTAATTTTTTTGTACTTTTAGTAGAGACGGGGTTTCACTGTGTTGGACAGGATGGTCTCGATCTCTTGACCTCATGATCCGCCCACCTCGGCCTCCCAAAGTGCTGGGATTACAGGCGTGAGCCACCGAGTCCAGTCCAATCTGTCTTTTAACTGATAAACTGAATACATTTAATGTTTACCGTGGTTATTGTTTTTCCCCCTCCTTTCTTGCCTTCAAAGCCTCAATTTCTGTATTTGCTAAAATGGTAAGGATAAAATAGACCTCACAATAAGATTCTAAGAAACAAATGAGATATTAAAAGGAAAGTGACTAGGGCCTTGTAATAACTGTTACAGCTAACATTCCAGTGCTTTCTACGTGTCAGACAATATACTAACCATTTTAAATTGAACTCTTATCCACAACCCTATAAGGCATTTAACATAATCTCCACTTTACAGAGAGAAACTGGGACACAGAGTGATCGTAAAATGTGTCTGTGATTGCACATTTAGTAAAAAGCAAAATTCAAGCTGGGCGCGGTGACTCAAGCCTGTAATCCCAGCACTTTGGGAGGCTGAGGCGGGTGGATCACGAGGTCAAGAGATCGAGACCATCCTGGTCAACATGGTGAAACCCCGTCTCTACTAAAAATACACAAAATTAGCTGGGCATGGTGGCGCGTGCCTGTAATCCCAGCTACTCGGGAGGCTGAAGCAGAATTGCCTGAACCCCGGAGGCAGAGGTTGTTTGTGAGCCAAGATCGCGCCATTGCACTCCAGCCTGGGTAACAAGAGCGAAACTCTGTCTCATAAAAAAAAAAAAAGAAGCAAAATTCAAATGTTGCTTCTCTATCTCGCTATATTCAAAGTGTGTACTACTAAAATCATAATGTCATTTGTGTATATCTACATGCACAAACACACAACATAAATCCTGGAATCAGCTCCTATTCCCATGCACACATTCAGTCACTACTTTCCACAAAAACACAAATGAAGGACAGCCTGCCTCAATCCTGCATCATACCAACAAGCAGCACTTCTTTTTCATGCCTTTCTGTGATTCAAACTTCAGTGCCAACTCAGAAAAACACAGCATTTTCTTCCAGTTATACAAGAAATTAACCCTTTACACCTTATCACACATATATCTTAGAACAGAAGCTGGCACACAGTCACACAACTATTATAAAAGTAAAATATGACGGCAAAATATAAAAAAATCTATACAAGTTAAATAAGAAATAATTATCTATGATCTCACCACAGGTAACCAATCTGGAGATGGCAGAAACTATTATGATATTGTTCATAAAACAGAAGTATACGGTCACATTTTAAAACTGTTTTTGTTTTCTTCCCCACTATGTGAAGAACATCTTTCCAGGCCAATAACCTTATTTCTATAATATCAACAACTTATATAAAATAACAAAAAAGTAAAATCCTACCCATAATTTAAAAAATAAATATGTAGGAATATCAAGACCCATATGAAGCATACTGAAAACACCAATGAGAACTATAAAAATTGAATTAAAGAAATTTATAATTAGATTTTGTTGTGGGATAGGAAGACTTCATATGTAAAGATAATTTGACCTCAGATGATTTACGTAACTCATTCAACTCCATAATCTCAAAATTTTTTTCTTTAACAAGCAATTCTAAAGTTTATGTGTAAGGAAAAAGCTTCAGGAACAGTTTGGACACTTTTTTTGAGACAGGGCCTTACTCTGCAGTGCAGGCTGAAGTGCAATGGCATAACCATAGCTCACTGCGGCCTTGAACTCCTGGGCGCAAGTGATCCTCCCACCTCAGCCTACAGAGTAGGTTACAGGCATGACCCATCACGCCCGGCCTGGGCACTTTTGGAAATACAAAATAATGCGTGTGAACAAGCCCACTTTAAAACATATAAATTATAATCAGAACATGTGACACTGGCTCAAGAGAGGTTATACAGATGAAAAAAGCGGAACTATCTATGCAAGACTTAGCATGTAATAAATATAGCATCTCAAAGCCATGAGTAAAAATTATTTAATGAATAGGAGAATATTTGAAAGAAAATAAAGATGTTATTTCATACATTACAACCACCTACAGATGGGTTAAATTTAAAAATAATGGAAACCCTAAGAATGCCTTAAGCCACAGGTGAATGAATATATGTATAATTTGAGGGGAGATTTCGCTACACCCGACACAAAAGGGAAAAGCATTAAAAATTTTTTAAATAGTCATATGTAACCATTAAAAAATACAGGGCCAGGTCTGGTGGCTCACACCTGTAACCCCAGCGCTTTAAAAACCTCTTTCGACAGCGGCAGGGGCAGGCTGCGCGTGCATGCGGCCGAGCAGGGCAGCCGCTCCTTAGGGGAACGGCTAGGAAACGGGGCTGGCCCGGGGTCCAGGCCGAACGCACCCAAGGCCCACGCCGGCGCCGCCAGGCCCGCCTGAAAGGACGCACAGAAGCGGCGCCTCCGGAAAGGCAGTGTCCGCTACACAGCCCTGAAGCCGCAAGGCTCCGCGGGCCACGGCATCCTCACTACCCGGCCCAGCCCCACCCAGCCGCAGCCCCAGCCCCAGCCCCAGCCCCAGCCCCAGCCCCAGCCCCAGCCCCGAATCCGCGGGCGAACGTCCAAGGCGGACGCCCAGGGCCTGGAAGCCGAAAGCCCCCGCGGCCACTCCCGCGCGCCTCCCCCGCCATCCGCGAAGACCCCAGCGCCAGCCCCGCATTAAACGCACTGAACGCCCAGAACTCACAAAAGACGCCGCCGCCGCCGAGTCGCTCGCGCGCTCGCGCCCACGCCCGCGCGCCCGCGACCCGCGATCACGTGACGCCACCAGGCCCCCCCCGCGCCCCGCGCACGCGCCCGAGCCGTCGGTCTTTGTGCGCTCCCCGGCGGCTCCGAACCGGCCGGGAAGAGTCGCGGACTGCACACGCGCACACTCCCCTCTCACGTGGCAGCTAAGGACAAAGAGGAAGAAAGCGCAACCAGCAAGCTTTGCCAAGAGTGTATATGCGCATGCGCCAAGGACAGAGTCCTCGCGAACTCAACTTCCCAGGGTGCCCCGCGTCCGGAAGCGCCTGTCAGCCGGAGACGCGGTGACACCAAACGGGCTCATACGGTTTTCTGAGAAACATAAAGGGAAATCGAATCTACCAATACTTTTTAAAAAATTTATAATTTTTTTTTTTTGGAGACAGAGTGACGCTCCGTCGCCCAGGCTGGAAGGCAGTGGCGCGGTCTCGGCTCACTGCCTCCCCGGTTCAAGCAATTCTCTTGCCTCAGCCTCCCAAACAGCTGGGACTGCTGGCGCCCGCCGCTAGCCCGACTAATTTTTTGTATTTTAGTAGAGATGGGGTTTCACCATGTTGCCCACGCTGGTCTCGAAGACCTGAGCAATCCGGCCGCCTTGGCCTCCCAAAGTTTTGGGATTACAGGCGTGAGCCACCGCGCCCGGCCCACCAATACTTCAGACAATTGAAACCAGAAAAAATATTAAATATATTTATGGAAAAGAGGTAAACATTAATCAACAGAAAAAGGTAAAGTTGATCCATAACTCGCGTCATAGGGAAAATTATAGGTAAGTCACTATCTTTATGATAGGGAGATGGGGCTGGTGGGGGATGGAGAGAGAGGAGAGATGAAAAAAGAAATAACCACAGACAAATAGGAAATTGCATGAAAACCCGTTCTATACTAATAAATTTGATTATTTGTGACACAAATAACATACTCCAGGACAAGATGTACCAAATTTGACCCAATTTAATGCACAATTTGGAAACAAATTCAGAGATCCTTTGCCAGAAAGCATCATTATTGCGTTGCTCAGTGAATTGTTTCAAACATCCAGTGACTAGAGAATTCTTTCTATTTAAATATTCCCAGAGGTAGAACTCAACCAGTGAAGTACTGGCATAAAAGCAGACACATAGATCAATATGGAACAGAATAGAAACACCAGAAATAACCCGTGCGTATAGTCAGCTAATCTTCGGCAAAGCAAGTAATCTTGTGTCAAGAATACACATGGGGAAAGGATTCGCTTCAATAGTGTGAGGAAGCTGGATATCCAAATACTGTTACGAGCAAAAGGGCTCATTGCCCGATGTGCACAGAAGCCAATACTATGGCACCAGCTGTTTGAGAAAAGAAAAGCTTAATTGCAAGTTGACCAACAAAGTGACAGGAATTTAGTTCAAATTTGTATCTCTGCTGGCCTTAAGGCAGCACTTTCATGAAAAAAGATTTCGGGGGTGGATTCTGGATTCACAGGTGACTGGTGGAAGGAAAGAGGAGGTCTGGAAATCCCCGAGCATGTGCAGTTGTCTCTTCAAGCCTCTTGGGTTGCATGTGCTAATTAAGGTAGAGTTAGTGTGAAAACTGCAGTGGAAATTCAGGCTGCAACATCAGCAAGCTCATTCTGCATGGACTCCAGTTGGTTATATTGGTTTCAACTGATTTCAGCCAGTTGTATTATCTTACAAACAGAGGGAGCGTCAGCAAACTGTTTCATATCTGCCATCCTGTAAGCCCAAGAATTTGTCAGCCACTGGTTTCTTTAACTCTTCGGGGGCATGGTTTCACAACTTCTTAGCTCTGTGCCTGCAACATAACTGGCTATTCCGTTATCAACAGAGTATGGCCAGATAAGACTGGTACAGCTATTAAAATGTAAAAAAGGGACATTGGATTCTATCTTACACCATACATAAAAATCAACTCATAATAGATTAAAGACAAATAGAACACCTGCAACTGTAAAACTCCTAGAAGAAAACATAAGGGAAAGCTCCAGGGCATTGGTGCTTGCAATGATTTTTTTAGATATGAAATCAAAAGCACAGGCAACAGAGCAAAAATAGACAAGTGGGAGTCCATCAAATTTAAAAGCTTGCATCAAATTTAAAAGCAAAGGAAACAACAAAATTAAAAAGCAGCCCATAGAATGGGAGAAAATATTTGCACACCGCATAGCTGAAAGTGGTTAATATCTAAAATATGCAAGGAAATCATACAACTAAACAGCCAGAAAAATACAAATAACTTGAGGGCCAGGCGCGGTGTGTAATCCCAGCACTTTGGGAGGCCAAGGTGGGTGGATCACAAGGTCAAGAGATCAAGACCATCCTGGTCAACATGGTGAAACCCCATCTCTACTAAAAATACAAAAAATTAGCTGGGCGCGGTGGTGCGTGCCTGTAATCCCAGCTTACTCAGGAGGCTGAGGTAGGAGAATTGCCTGAACCCAGGAGGCGGAGGTTGCGGTGAGCCGAGATCACGCCATTGCACTCCAGCCTGGGTAACAAGAGTGAAACTCCGTCTCAAAAAAAAAAAAAAAAAAAAAAACCACAAATAACTTTATTGAAAAATGAGTAAAGGACCTAAACAGACATTTTCCCAAAGAAGACATACAAATGGCCAATAGATACATGAAAAGGTTCTCTACATCACTAAGTATGAGGGAGATGCCAATCAAAACCACAATGCGATATCACCTCAGACTTGTTAGGATGACTGTTACCAAAATGTGAAAAGGTTAAGTCTTGGTGAACACGTGGAGAAAAGGGAAACTTCATACATTGTTGGTGACAGGCAAATTGGAACAGCCATTATGGAAAGCAGCATGGAGGTTCCTCAAAAAATTGAAAATAGAATGACCATGTGATCCAGCAATAACATTTATGGGCATGTGTCTTGGTCTGTTTTCTGTTGCTGTAACTGAATACCTGAGACTGGATAATTTATATAGAAAATGAATTTATTTCTTACAGTTCTGGAGGCTGGGAAATCCAAGGGTGAGGGGCTACATCTGGTAAGGGCTTTTTTGCCAGTGAGGACTCTCTGTGGAGTCCAGAGACGGGGTACAGGTTCTCATATGTCAAGGGGGCTCAAGTATGCTAGTCCACATCTCTTTCTAATAAAGCCACTAATTCCCTACTCTCATGACCTCATCTAATCCTAATTAACTCCCCAAAATCCCACCTCTCAAACACCATAGTCAGAGTTTTCACCCTCTTAACATTGTTACAATGGAAGTCAAGTTTCAGCATGAGTTTCAGAGGGGACAAATATTCAAACCATAGCATTCCATGCCTGGCCCCCCAAAGTCTTAACCTATTTCAGTACAACTCAGAAATCCAAAGATGAGAGTCTCAATCTGTGGAATAAAAACAAGCTATCTACTTCCAAGATACAATGGTGGGACAGGCATAGGGGTACACAGTCCCATTCCAAAAGGGAGCAATACACCCCAAGTAAGGAGTATCCAGGCCAAAGCAAGCCTGAGACTTAGCAGGACAGACCTTAAATGTTAAAGGTGAGGAATAATCTCCTTTGACTCCATGCTCAGCGGCCTCTGCACACAGGTGCAGTGTGGTTGGGCCCCTCAGGCCTTGGGCAGTCTCCCCTATAAGGCTTTGATGGCCTCAGTCCATCCAGCTCTCATGAGTTGGGGTCTTGTGTCTGCAGCTCTCCCAGGCTTGTGTTGCATGCTGGTGGCCTTATAGTTAGAGTCTTGATGGTGGTTCAACTGCCTTGGCTCCACCAGGCATTGGAGGTTCTCCGGTGGGAACCCTGTGGCAGCTCTGACCCCACATTTTCACTCAGCGTTGCCCTATTATTACCATTGCCCCTGCAAAGAGTCTGTGCCTGGGACTCTAGGCTGTCTGATACAACCTTTGAAACCTAGATGGAGTTCATCATGCTTTCACAGCTCTAGATTTCTGAGTTTAGCACCATGTGGATATTAGCACATGTGGATGGTACGTGGTATCAGAATTAGCACCATATGGATACCACCAAGGCTTATACATGGCTTGTGTCTTCTGGAGCAGAAGGTTGAGCCACACCTGAGGCCACAGCTGAGACAGTCAAGGACCTTCGTGCCAGAATTTGGGGAGTAGAGACCTGAAGTGGCTCTCAGCATTGAGCCTGTAGCAAGCACAAAAATTCTTCCCTCCTAGGGTTCTGGGCCTGTGATGGGAGGAGCATCCTTCAAGATCTCTAAAATGCCTTCAGGGTCTCTCATTGTCCTGATGATTACTACCTAGCTCCTTTCTAGCTGTATTAATCCCCTTAGCAACCACTTGCTGGGCCAAACCCATCTTTTATTCTCTCAAACAAAAATTTTTGTTCTTTATATGGCCAGGTTGAGAGTTTTCCAAGTCTTTTTGTTTTGCTTTTCTTTTGATTATAAATTGTCTTTATGTCACTTTTTACTCTTGCAGCCTTATGTAAACAGTTCGAAGTAGCCAAGCCTGAATGCTTTGCTTCTTAGATATTTCTTTGCCACCTATCCTAATCCATTGCTCTTAAATTCTGCATTCCATAAAACCCTTGGACGTGGGTACAATCCAACCAAATTATTTGCCAATTTATGACAAGGATGGCTTCAAGGATGCTTCAGTTTCCAGCTCCTTGTTCCTTAGTTTCATCGGAGGCCTCATCAGAATGGGCTTTACTGTCCGTATTTCTGTCAGCATTCTGGTCATGACCACTTAAATAGTCTCTAAAAAGTTCTAAACTTTCCCCAGTCTTCTTGTCTTCTAATCCCTCGCCAGAATCTAGGCTTTTTTCCAGCCTACTCCTCAAAAGCCTTCCAAACTCTGCCTATTACCCAGTTCCAAGGCCACTTCCACATTTTCAGGATTTATTATTAGTAATAGGCCCACTCCTCAGTACCAATTTTCTGGCTTAGTTTATTTTCTGTTGCTGTAACTGAATACCTGACACTGAATAATTTATAAAGAAAATGAATTTATTTCTTACAGTTCTGGAGACTGGGAAGTCCAAGGTTGAGGGATACTTCTGGTAAGGACTTTCTTGTCAGCAGGGACCCTCTGCAGAGTCCCGAGGCAGCCCAGGGTGCACATGGTGAGGAGGGATCA